AGTACGCTATGCCAAGTTTTGTACAAATCAAAAGAAATATAGGGACTTTGGTGAACCATTTACATTAAATCAGACAAAAATATATATGGGAGCTATATCTACATCTGAACCGATTTTCAGGAAACTTTACACACATCTTTCTAAACTCAATTCCGTATGCAGTGCCAAATTTCGTGCACATTAAATCGGAAGAAAATATGTGTGGGAGCTATATCTTAGTCTGAACAGATTTTCACAAAAATTAACAGAAACATCATGCTACACTTAACTCAGTACGCTGTGCCAAATTTCGTGCAAATCGAAAAATATATTGGGATTTTGGTAACCGTTTACATTAAATCAGACGAAAATATATATTGGAGTTATATCGAAATCTGAACCGATTTTCACGAATCTTAAAACTCATCGTTCTAGATTATGCCAAAATTTATGAAAATCGGAAGATATATAGGGACTTTGGTGCACCATTTACATTAAATCGGATGAAAATATATATGAGATCTGTATGTAAATCTGAACCGATTTTCACGAAACTTAACACACATTATTCCAGACTTATTTATTTAGTACGCCATACCAAATTTCGTACAAATCGAAAGGTATTTAGAGACATTGGTGCACCATTTACAGTTAATCGGAAGAAAATATATATGAGAGGTATATTGAAATCTGAACCGATTTTTCACAATTTCAATAGCGTTCGTCCTTGTGCCAAATACATGAGCTTTACCAAAGTTCAACCAATTCGGATCATTTGGACAGACAGACGGACGGACATGCATAAAATATAGTAACTTGTAATAGGGGGCTGGCATTTTTGGCTATAACAAAACGGGGTCAATATTGGTAATTTTAGTACTGAGATGTGAGGGTATCGTTATAATGTTTGAATATTATTAATTTTTAGTACGTTCTTGTATTAAAAACAATGAAAAATAAAAAAAAAATAAATTAAAACTAACTCCTTTGAGAAACTTGTGCAAAATCCTCAAAATACCGAATGCTGGGAGATACCGTTATTAAACTTTTTGGTACCCACATGTGCCGTACAACAAATGCCACACTGAACCCAAAATACTAAACTAATTTTAATTCGGTTTAAAAACGTGTTCAAAGTCCCCTAAATACCGAATAAGTGGGGTACTGTTTTGTGGCGGCTATCTTGAAACTTGGGTCAATATTATTAATTTTTGGTACGGAAATGTGCTATATAATGAGAAGCCAGCTTATTCGGTTGAAAACGTGTCCAAAACTCCTAAAATACTGAATATTTGGGGATACCGTTATATGGGGGCTACACCAAAACGTGAAACGATTTATTCCATCTGCAAATATTGCGACCCCCATTTAGCGGTACCCCAAATTCAATTCAGTACGCTATGCCAAACTTCGCGAAAATCTAAAGAAATATAGAGGCGTTAATGTACCATTTACACAAAATCGAACGAAAATAGGTGTGGGACCTATGTCTAAATCTGAACGAATTTTCACGAAGCTTAACACACGTCACTCTAGACTCAATTTGGTACGCTGTATAAATGTTAGTCTCAATCGGATAATTATTAGTCATTTTGTTCTACAATAATTGTGTTGAAGTTACGTCCTTTCGTCCTACTATAATTGTGTTGAAGTTACGTTCCTTTATCATTTTAAAAAGTCCTAACTGACATAAAACCTTTAAAAACCAAAAAAACATTATTTTTTTCCAACAAAAAATACAGCTCTATAGTGCTGAATGTTAGGTGTACTGTACAATTTTTTTTGGCAATTTTGATAAATTTTACAGATTTTTTCAAATTTTTTTTTCTGTAAATGATTTTATCGATGCTTTATTTGCATAACTTACCTAAATTTAAGTGATTTTTAAAAAACATGTTCAAAAAATTCAGTAAAGTAAAAAATTGCACAATGTGTTAATTATATGGCCACTTCAAAGTCGATGTATTTTCATAAAAACCGTTATTTATGGAAAAATTTTATGCAATAATTTTCTATTATCACACTAAATCTCTTAAGTGCAGTATATCGAAGTGTTCTGAATTAAAAAAATTTCAAAAATACTTCAAATGAATCGAGGGCTGATCAAAAAATGTTTACCACAATAAATGTTTTAATTGCGTGACCAACACTGTATATAAAAATGAATTGCTGTTCGTTAGTCTCGCTAAAACTCGAGAGCGGCTGAGTGGATTTTTCTTATCTTAGTCTTGAAATGTTCGTGGAGCTCCAGGAAAGGTTTAAAAGGTGAGAAAAAATCGAAAACCGCGAAAAATTTTCAAAAAATTATTATGAAGTATATTTGCATTTCCACGAATTTAGTTTCGAGCTATTTGATTGCACCACGTCGTAGTTGCTATTTGGAGATATTTTGGGGTAAAATTATTGTTGGATCTTTCCTCAAAGCTTTCATTTGCCAATTATTGAAAATTTTCAAAATATTTTATTTCTTTTTTTTTTTTTGAATTGGACTGGCATTGCGTTGAAACTATTTTTTGTGAGAATACAAAAAATGTAATTATCGATTCTATGTGAGAATACAAAAAATAATTAAGAAGTATATCATTGAATGTACACGCGATCATCGTATGTCCATATCCATAAATTGCACGTAAATTTTTGGAACAAACGCAACGACGAAAATCAGAAGACATTCGGAATAGAGTTCTGATGCTAAGATCCATGACCTACATTATTTTTCTTAAAAATAATAACAATAATAGCTCCTTAGTGCCACGTTGTTCTTTAAAGTACCTAAACTGTTGCAATGCCACGGGAAATATCAAATCAGGGGGTACCATTATATGGTAGTTATATGCCCAATCGTTGGTCAATGTTTTTGAACTTATACGCACAACACCTGGATATATTAGATACCAAAAAAGTGTATCACAGACAAATCTAATATACAATTAAATTTTCTTTGCAAAATTCTATCAGTAATCTCATATAAAAAGAGAAATACTATAAAAACAGCAAAATTAAAAGAACTGCGCCTAAATTTGTTATAATTATTACAAATATCTCAATATGTCAACTTCCGATATATACAGCATTATGTGGTAGTAGATTGTACATGCTCTGAAAAAAAAATTATTCAAAATTACAGCACTCAGGTTTCTAAAACGTTATAGTGCATAATTTGTGGGAATAAATTTTTCGTTCGAATCCGAATCAGAAATCCGTTATGTCAAACTGTAGAGGAAAATCCGGTCACAGTCTTTATAATACCGAAAATGGGGCGGAAACTGTTTGTGGAAGCTATATCAACACTTGAACCTAAATAGAAAAATTTGCGCAAAAATGTGACTACAATGGGAATGGATATATATATTAATTTATGATTGGAATATTTGACACCACATGAGAAAATACCGAACAATGACACAATTATATTGGGGCTACCCGAAAACTTAAACCAATATTGATAATTTTGGTAAAGAGGTTTTGATCATCAAAAATAAAAAATTAGAGACACTAAACCAAACTCCCCAAAATACCAAATATGTAAATGCCAAATTTCGGCTGATTATACTTCAAAACTGGCCCAAATCCCCCACAGCATCGAAAAATTTACTATTATATATGTAGTTAGTTTTTCGGCTCAATAAGCATCCCTAATATTAAATTATATAATTCTTTTAAATAGGGGGTACCGTAATATGGGATCTACCCTAAAACAATAGGAGTACTAATGTTTGTGCAAATTAAGAAATTATCTTAAGTAGTGGAGGGTAAAAAAGCTAACTTAACATTGGACTTCCGTTATGAGAAAGTCTTATAAATATATTGGGAACATTTTAATTAATTCCCAAAGTCAAAGTTATATGTGCATTTGCATTTTTTAAATTTAATTTAATTTAATATTAGTAAATTTTAAGCATAAAATTGTAGATATTCAGTGCTGTAATGTCACATATGTGCTTTGATAAATACTGAGGTCCATGATCTGTACACTCCACCTTATGGTGTAGGGTATAATATTGATAGGCCAGACAACGTTTGCCGGGCCCGCTAGTTTTAAATAAAATAAAATAAAATAATTTCATTTTTGAGAATATAATTTTCAAGCTCTATTAAGGTTCAAGGTCTAGGAATGGGCGTGAATGTTTAAAAAAAGCAGTTCGATCCTATTTAACAGCAGTGGTTTCTATAAAAAGGCGTCTAGTTAAAAAATCATGGTTAGTGAGTTGGCTGGTACTTTTTAACGTATGGCCAAGCTCTCTATAAATAAATTTTTTTATGTGGGAATTCTTATATATTTTTCATATTGTTATAAGAGTTGTTAAGTAATGTAAACAGGCGAAAGGCGATTTTTAAGAATATTTATTCAAGCGACAGGATGTTTAACAATATAGAAGTATGACTTATAGGTTTGGTTTTGTATTTAGATCCGCTATATTTTTAATAATATTTAATATTTGATTTTTCTATTTTTATTTACAGATAAGAATGGGAAATGCCAATAAGGTAACTTTAAGGTAAATTTCAATTTAAGTTCACAGGTAAAAAACAAATTCTATGTTGAAAATATTTCAAATGCAATCCAAGTTTTTTACAATATATAGTTTACATAGTTTTAATCATAATCGATTAGAATGTTGGCGATTTTCAAAAAAATATCTTCGAGGATCTTGATCCTTATTCACACGATAGCTATGCACAGTTTCTAGAAAAAGTTGTCTAAATTTTCTCTTGAAATTTTAAAGGGACACTCGCGAATTAGTATAGGTTCGGAAAAAAACTTTTATTTGTTGATCCTCTGGAGGGGGGTCCCCTTAAATCATACATAATAAAAACATGTCTTCTGAGCAATACTACTTTTTTTAAATTATTTTCCTACACATTTGGAACACGGAATACATTTGTACTTTGTATCCTTTGTGACTCTTTGTCATCCAAATTAAACATTTCATATTTAATATATTTTGGTAGTGTCTAAGACGCTTTACTCTCATTTAAACAAATACCTTTTTTTGTCTCATTCACAACCACTCACTCACCTTCTTCCAAACCACGGCCCAATTCTTCAGATGACAACTTGGGAAAACTAACTTGCAATGTATGACCGTTGAAGAAATTACTCAAACGTTCGATTAACATATTTGTCAATTTTGTATCACGATCTTCACCCGATCTGGATAGGGTGGATTCCAATTCATTTTCACTAGTCAACGGTCGAATATATGGTACAGCTCCAGCACTGGCGGGTAATTTCACCACCTTAACACCATCAGCAATAGCTATCGAATCAATATACGAAATACGATCAATAAAGGATATTGCCTTTTTCTTTAGACATGGCACAAATCCACCATCGGTTCGTGTACATTCATCGTAGATCCTTAGTATGGTACGTGTTCCGGCATTTTGATAAGCCGAGTTGGGTGATGAAATATTCTCTGTGCTGGCATTTATTTGCTGCAGGCAACACAATAAGGATACACACAACAATAACATTGATGTTATGTTAAAGGAATTACTGATTGTCTTTTTGTTGATCATGATTTTTTTGGTAGTTTGTTTTTATTTTTTATTAAAATTTGTTTATTTAATTTTCAACACTTTGTTTGAGTTTTTGTTTTTGGTATTTTCTTTCACTTTTTTGGTATAATTGTTTGTTATTTTTATTGCTGGTAATCCTTGGTGTGGGTGGGTGCTTGATCCTTAAAGTGGTTGCAAAAATTATAAAGCACCACAAATTATTTGTATATTTTTACTGGAGTCTACGATTGGAATTCGTTCTCCCTTTTCTTTGATGTGCTCACTTTAGATTCTGTTATAAAACTAATACCGAATACCTTCAGTGTCTATAGTTTATATACGAACATTGCTGAGATGGCCAACAGCCATACCATTCATAACTTTTGAGGAGTTTGAAAATAAATTTTTGTTTTTTGTTTTGATCGCTCTTTCATGTTTCTCATGTTATCTTCGTCAATGGCAACAACAACATAAACAGCACTTTCTTTGTGTTTGGCGCTCAAAACGTTATTACCATCAAACTCAAACCGCTGGAATTTCATTGGCTTTTACCCAGCCTTTCAGTCATGTTGTGAACATGTGTAAGCAACTCAAACAATATTATGTTGCATGCCTTTGGTTTAAACTCTGTTAGTTTGGTTACTTCTGTGTTGCAAATAGAGTTTCAATTGTGGTCTTGATCGTGCAACTCCATGAGAAAGTTACCATCTTTATGTTTTTGTTTTAAGTCTATCGTAGAAAGACATAAATTTTTGGGAAACATAATTTTATTTATTTATAGCAAATATTCATACCATAAATTAATCAAATTTAATTTATCAATGTTAGTCTACTATTAGGAGTAGATCCCATGTAAAGATACCCTCTATTATCGATTTTTGAGTACTTAGTGCTAGTTTATGATTGGGTGTGAAATCTTGGTACTAAAAATTATAAATTTTGTCTTAAATATCGGAGTAAACCTCATATAACGGGCCATAATACCCTGTACTATATCTTTGTGCAAATGTTCGTAACAGGCAAAAGGAAACGAGATAGACACATGGTTGCTTTTGAGAATATGCATACAATCACTTTCTCAGTCGATTTATACATGTCAGTCCGCCCATCTTTTGGTGTTAAATTGTCAACAAAGTACAGGCCGCATTGATAATTCGATTTGAATGAAATTTGGTACAGTTCATTTGTTTGGCCCAAGGGCGAACCCTATTGAAATTTGGCAAAATCTGTTCAGGTTTAGATATAGCTCACATATATATTTTCGTCCGATTTTATGTAAATGGAGCACCAAAGAACCCCTATATATCTTTCGATTTGCACAAAATTTGGCATAGCGTACTGAATTAAGTGCGGAATGATGTGTGTTAAGTTTCGTGAAAATCGGTTCAGATATATATGTCCTATATATAGTTTCGTCCGATTTAATGTAAATGGTGCACCAAAGGCCGTATATTTCTTTCAATTTGTAAGAAATTTTGCACAACGTACAGAAGTTAGTGTAGTCCAACGTGTATCAGTGTCTTGTAGAGTGTGAGTTTGGTCTGCGGGAACTGGCCTTGCTTTTGAGTTGTTAGCTCAGACCATAGTAGCATCTGTTGGCCATCACTATCCTTCTCTGAATTTAAAAACTGATGTCATTCGTTTTGTTTATGGTAGTACCAAAGTATATAAAATCTTTGACTACATCGAAGCTGTAGTTCTCATGTTCCGTTTACTGCCAGACCCAATTTGGCAGACTCCTTCTCGATTTGTTCAAAGGTGGCTGTTACCGCTCTCAATGTTCGATCCATTATATCGATGTCATCGGCGTAGGCGATTAGCATTTGTTTTTTGGTGTACAGAGTGCCATTTCTGTTCACTTTTGCCTCTCGTATGACCTTTTCCAGCAGGATGTTAAAAAGGTCCTCGTTGAATCCTCGTTCCGAGAGGTCTTTTCCGACTTTAACTGCTGATCTTGTGCCAGTTAAAGTTATCCTACATAGCCGTATTAATTTTGCAGGAATGCCAAACACAGTCATGGTTTTATACACCTCTGAACGGTTAGGGCTGTCGAATGCGGCTTTATAGTCGACGAATATGTGGAATGTGGAACGCAGAGTGAAAATCTGGTCAATGGTGGATTGCCCAGGTTTGAAGCCGCATTGGTAGGGTCCAATAATTTCATTGACCATTGGCTTCAGTCGTTCACACAGTACGCTGTATATCACTTGTCTCCTTTTTTGTGTACGGGACACAGGATGCTGTGGTTCCAATCATTGGGTATGCATTCCTCTAGCCAAATTGTACTAATCAGCTGATGCATGCTCCTTACCAGCATCTGACCACCAGTCTTGAATAGTTCGGCTTGTAACCCGTCGGCACCTGCTGTTTTATTATTCTTCACTCAATTGATTGCTATTCTGACTTCATCTTGCCTAGGTGGTATACACCCTTTACCGTCATCTTTTATGGGTTCTGGGGTATCCTCTTCATCGGGGATCCTCAGCACGCTGTCTGTATCTGTCACCAGGTATCCTTCTTCATCTCTACATGATGATTTGCCCGCACCAAAGCCTTCGGTTTGGTGTTTTACCCATTTGTAGAATTTTCATTCTCACTCCTGTACATCTCGATTTGCTCACGCTCACGTTTTTCTTGTTCTTTCTTCTTTTTTTCTGAAAATACGTTTCTCCTCTCTTCTTTTCTCCCGATAGTTCTCCATCGCATTACGTTTTGCTACTGGCCGCAGGGTTGTCCTATACGCTGCGTTTTTCATATCAGTAGCATTACGACACTCCTGATTGTACCACGGATTTCTTGATGGTGGTCTTTGGTACCCTAGTGTTGCTTTTGTTGCTTTTGATTCTCCATCGCATTACGTGTTGCTACTGTCCGCAGGGTTGCCTATACGCTGCGTTTTTTAATATCAGTAGCATTACGACCCTCCTGATCGTACCACGGATTTCTTGATGGTGGTCTTTGGTACCCTAGTGTTGCTTTTGATTTATATATAGCTCCCATATATAGTTTCGTCCGATTTTATGTAAATGGCGCACCAATCTCCCAAAATTGGTCCGATTGAGACAAAAATTATCACAGAGTACTGAATTAAGTCCAGATTTGTGTATGAGAATTTTTGTTGGAATCGGTTCAAATTTAGGTATAGCTCCCAAATATAGTTTCGCCCGATTCCATTTCAATGGTCTTCGAAGGATGCTATGTCTATTCTATCGAAAGGATATTGTACATATGAACATCTTTTGTATGTACCCATATAGTCGGCCCGTCCGACTTTTGAACTTTCCTTACTGGTTTTTTTTTCCTTAAGTTTGATCCGCCACTTTAGATTCATTTTATTCGATTTTCAACATCTTCTTTCACATTGCTCCACAAAATATGTTCAAAAATAATTAGGTAAATTAAATTTTTAAAAATTTAACCACCACTTTCGATCCACCCTAATTAATCATTACTCTTTTCTTGCGGAATAATCATCGCCCTAAACCTTTCTATGCGATATTTATTTATTTCATAGTCCCCCTACTCTAATTATATAAGGTTTATTCCATATTTATATAACCACATTAACAAATTCACATCAGATACTTATTCGTATCTGAGATTACTCAAGATGCGGCAACCCTAAATTCACAACCAAATGTAAAGTGTTTGCATTGCTGCTCTTAACATTTGTTTACAGTGTCCCTAGATAGTTGCAACTCTATGTATGTTTGCATATTACTGTTCAGTGGAATGTTTAAATGTTGAGGTCACTTCGCCTTGATGTCTAATGATCATTAATCTTTTGGTTAAAATTGTTTGTCTTGAATACACACATTTACATATGCAACTCTTATTTTCTTTTACAATAAAAGCTATTAATCAAATAAGTAAGGGTGTACTTACGAATTTATTGCTATTAAATGTGTTTAATATTGTAGGAAACCTTAACGACATCTATTAAAAAAAATTAAATAATTATTTCATCTTAGGAGCGGATGTAAGTCTCACATCCCGCCTACCTTTACATAATATTAATATTCCTACTAATTTTCACACTCCTTACATTTGTTGATTTTCGCATAGGTTTCACCAAATCCTTAACAAACATTTCTCTAGTGAAAATTTGAATTAGTTTACTGCCATTAACAACAACGACAATAAAACAACCTGTTACAGCTCCCATGTCCAAATCCCATATGTTTCCTATTTTTAGCCACGTATCCAATTATGGTAATGAGATTCACTTTTCATTATTACATATTATATATATACATGAACAAACATACAAATACATCTGTATATTTTGGCGTGTATGTGTGTGTGTGTTAGTCATACGACGACATTAACTTGTTTTTCTTTAACCAACTGGATTTGTTTACCAATTCATTATGGGAATACTTGATTACATGTTTAATTGCGACGACAGACACATGGACTAGCTATCTAGTAGCCTCCCCTAGCTTGATTAGCGTAGCAGAGTGTCAACAGAAAAATCACAGTGTTGACGTTTATTTTTTTCTCCGAACAATGTTGTGTTGTCGGCATGGTCATGGTAATTGTAATGACAAAAAATCATCATCACCATTATTACTATTATTGTTATAAAATAATGGAATTAAAAAGAGGTTGGTTTAAAAAATCGCTGATATAGTTTCGAGCTGACCGTATATAAGGCAAGGACATTTAATGGAAATTTTTCTTATTAGACATAGAACAGTGATATTTTGAATGTAGACTGGATGTACAAAAGTGTATTTGAAAATTCGTACCAAATGTCTACGAAGGGAAGAAGTTGAAGCTCTTGAAAGCAATAACTTGTAAACAAATAAATTATGATATATTTATGTAGAATTATGTTTTGATTTCTGATATCGTATCTACTCTTTCTGTTCAAATTTAAATTTGTACTAATATGTATAGTACATTTGTGAAATAAGTCAATTCATAAGTGCAGGTTCTGTAATGGTAACTACTCCTTCTCTTTCCAATTCCAATCTGTATACCCTCCAGAAGGTGGAGTATAATCACGGTGGAGATCA